TCCAGGACGGAGCCGTGCAATAGGGTGAGGTGTCTGTTGCACATATTACTGGGTAATTAACAAGCTCTTGGCTTTGTACTTGTTTTTGAGGCCCAGCCACAAGGCCACATCAAAGTGGCTGACATGTCAACAAGCAGGGCTGGCAAGTTGGAGTGATCCTCTTCATACAAGGAAGAATCCTGGAGGGTAGGAGGCAGGTGAGCACCAGCGTGATGATGACAGATGCTGTTAGAGGGACAGAGACGTGGGCAGACATATAGTACCTCCTCTGTTCTGTGCATGTATTTCAATTAGAGCTCTTAGCGCAAGTTACGTCTTTCCAGCTGGAGACCTGGTATGTAGGAAGTGCTCAGTATTGGTTAAATGATACATTTGCTGCTTTTTAAAAAAGATAGAAATAGGATTTCCCTCCTCTTAGTCTACCTTTCTTTAGTGTGAAAATACTTTCAAAGGAAATATCAAGTCAGTCTCAGCATTTACATTTTGAATATTGTGAATGCAAAGGTAGAGTTTGGCCATCTTTTAATTTGATTTTATTGGTCCTAGGCTAGTGTATTTTAGTTATTGCCATTACATTTCAGAGACATTCCCATCAAGGCTGTTCCTCTGAAGGACTGAAGATAAAAACAACTGAACTTTAAATAGACTCATTAACATTTTAAAGGACACTAAAGGTCATAGCCCAGATGACTGTGGTTAATTTACTCAGAGTTTCAAACCCCTCTTCTTTTCCACTCTTTTTTGGTGGGCTTCAATATGTTCAGGTCTTCCTGTCTAGGATTCCAGCTCTCTTTTCTTTCTGCTCCTCGCGGCATGCGTGGGTTTGATGTGCCAGTGTCTTCAAGGCGACTTTCTTCAGCACTGGATTTGTATGAGGCCTGGGTCTAGTGGTGCCAGGTAGACAAAGATGAGTTACAGGATTCTTCTCCTGAGTCACCACCCCATGAGGGTCCCCACAGTGAGGGACTTGAGTAAGATTCAGAGCAGACCATGCTGGGGGGAGTCAGGATACAGGGGGAGAGGGAGTCCTGGTGAAGTTGGTGTCTAGAAGTGGGCCTTGAAGGAGGAGAAGGAAGGGGAGGAAGTTTATTGGATGCCAGTCTGTTCTCACCACTGTATACGTATTAGTTTTTTTCATCCTTATAACTATCATGTAAAGTACATTCTGTTATTATCTGCATTTTATGCAGAGGAAACTTGACATGAAGCGAAGTTCAGTAGCTTGTCCAAGAGCACATACCTCAATCGGTGTACTGCTGGGATTCCAACGTAAGCAGTCTGGTTGCAGAGTCTGTACTGTGAATTGCTGTCTGGGGCTGAGTGGGATTTGCACAAATGAAGATGAAGGGGAAGCCACAGTGACCAAATATATGGAGGTAGACAAATTGGTTTAGGGCCATTTTGCGGAGGCGCTGGAATCCCACGCTGATGGGATAATTGTAACGGGACAGCACTGATGTTTGTACAGGCTTTATGGGTCTCACTACCTTTGCTGATTGATTCTGTGGAATGTCGTAGTTGTAATTCAGTGGGCTTGTGAAGGTTCTGAGCAGGGGAATGTCATGGTTTGTTCCCTGTCCTGAGTCTTCAGCATTCATTCCCCCATTCATGAATGTGCTTAGGTCTCAGCCTTTGCTGTCCTCTGTCGCCTGCCCCCTGCCCATTCTCTTTCCTTCCCTCTACAGTTACACTCTGGAAAGAGTTTCCTGGGGAGTCACCACTGTTTCTGCCTTTCCACCTCACCCTCCACTCCTCACCGTCCTCCTCTGATCTACCCTGCGTCATCCTACTGGAGCTGTCCTCCCTGAGGTGGCAGTGCCTGGCTCCCTGCTCATTCTGGCAGGACTTTTCAGGCTTATCTTATCCAGTGGTTCTCAACCTGGGGTGATTTTGCCCCTAGGATATATCTGGCAATGCTGGAGATACTTCATGGGGGACATTTGTGTTGTCATTGATGGGGGTGGGGATGCTACCGAACATCCTACAGTGCGCAGGGTGACTCCCACCACAGCCCAGCATACCAGTAGTGCAGAGGTTGAGGAACACTGATCTTACCTGGCACTCTGGGACCTTTCACAGTTCGCTACTCTTAAAACTTTCCCCTGACTGCCTAGACAATTTTCTCCTGACTTGTCTTCCAGTGAATTCTCAGTTTCTTCCTTACCAATCTCTGTGAAGGACTGTTCTCCTCCAGCTTTGATTCCAGTGCCTGCTTCCCTTGCTTTGCTGGTCCTGCATCTCTGCCCACTCCTCACATTCCTCTTGGGCATGTCGTTAGTCCCAGGGATTTGACCTCTGTCTCCAGGCTACTGACTCCACGTCTGTATTCATAGCTCTAGCTCTTTCGTGTTCCACTGAGATTCATGTCTTTCTCCACCTCAGTGGTGCACAAGCACTTCTAACCCAGCAGGTCCAGAAGAGGGCAGGCCAAAGTCTTCTTCATCCAGCCTGCTACTGCTGCGTTTGCCGTCCATCAGTGTGGACACGTGCACACTGAGTCATCCTACACTGCTCCCGAAGCTCGGGCACTCATCATTTCTCAGGCTGGAATACTGCGGCCCCCTCCCTCTGGCCTCCCTGCCTCCAGTTCCATGCCCTACACTGCCACCAGGGGAGCTTTCTAGAAAGAACTCTGAGGCCGAGGGTCTTCCTTTAGCTTCTCACCTATAAGAGAAACAGTCTGAACTACTGTACATGGCATGTGGAACTTCGTGACCAAAGTCCTGACCTTAAAAGGGGCCTTTTGAAAACATGGACATTGGGGTATCGTGACAGGGAAGGCAGGGAGGGTGGAGGGTACAGATATTGAGCATTAGGGTCCAGTGATGCTCACTTCCTGTAATGCACTTCATGGTCCTGCCCTGCAGAGAATTGTCCTGATGCCAGTAGTGCCCTTAGTGAGAAATGGCAGATTTAATTGTTAGCTTCTGCCTATGAAAAGTGAAGAGAAATCCTCAACACTGGTCTTGAGCACTTATTTTAGGGAATGGAAGGCAAAAGAAGAACCAGATGGTAATACAACAGCCCGGATATACGAGGGAGTGGTGAATTGTATTGGAAATTGTAAAAATGCAAAGACACAGTGGGGAGGCTGTTAGTTGTGTTGCTCTGTGTAGTGCCCTTCTTGTCCCGGCTTGTGAGTCATACTCAGCCCCCACTCCACACAGCTGACAGCCCCTAGTTTGGGCTGTGGCATCAGGTCTCCTTCCTTGGTCCTGCACTGCCAGTCTGTCAGTCTTCAGTGTGCCTCCACATTTGGTCAGTTATGTCATCTCTGACTGAGCCCCCCAGCCACCTCTTTACACAGCTGCTTTTGTAAATGAAAACATCCCAAGCTGTGTCTTTCAGTGTTGGCTAATGACAAGAAGAACAGCAACGACATTAATGAACGCTTATGTGCCAAGTACCGTGCTAAACACTTTATAAGTAGTTCTTATTTAATCCTCACAAAGATCTCTACACAGTAGCTACTATCTTAATGCCCATTTATAGTTGAGGAAATTGAGGATTAACCAAATGAAGTAACCAGTCCACTTTTACACAGCTAGTATTCCATGGAACTGGGACTTACACAGGCCTTTTTTTTTCCCCCCCCATTTTAAAAATAGATTTTATTTTTTAGAGCAGTTTTAGGTTTACAGAAAAAATTGAAAGTATGGAGAGTTCCCATAGACCTCCTGCCTCCCTCCAACCTTCCCCACTATCAACACAAAATGGTACATGCGTTATAATGGATGAATCTACATCGATACATTGTTACTCAGTTCCATAGTTTGTGCTTTACTCTTGGTGTTGTACATCTTACGGATTTTGAGAAATGTATGACATGTATCCACCATTATAGTATACAGAAAAATTTTACTGCCCAAAAAATCCTCTGTGCTCCACGTGTTCATCTGTCTTTACCCCTCTCACCCCTGGCACTCACTTATTCTTTTACTGTCTCCATCATATCTTTTTGACATTTTAAAAAATAAGTTCTCAGCTCAGGTATTCAGTTATCACTGAGAAGTTAAAAGGAATTAGTGGAGTTCCAGTCTCCATAAATCACATTTATTCCTTAAGAAATGGGTTTTACTTTGTGTCACCTTGTTTTCCTTTTTTTCTGAGAACCTGCCTGGCTGTTTGGAACCCTGTGTGTGGGGCGTATGTTTAAAGATAGGGTACAGATACCTCCTCCTCACTTTCTGTCCTAATAGCTTTGGGAGAGTTCTGGCTTTTTTCCTTTACAACCTGGTAATAAAATTCTGAGTAGACCAACAATTCGTTTGACCAAATATCCCTGCCATTAGGTGTCAGACTGCTCTAGAAGAGAATTGGAGATGAGGCTGGGCTATTTTCTAGCTTCTTGTATTTAGGACAACCTAAAATCTGTGATAAAGGGCTTTGAGGGCCCTTTGGGAGATAACCACCAGAATTGGTTGGTTAAGTGGCCTCATCTTATTATTTCCTAGTTCACTGGAGTGGTCCTTTTTAAAGGAACTCTGGAATTGCCTGTCGTTACACCCACATCTTAGAACAACCTCATACCATACCGTTGCAAGTATGGTATGTACGTACAGCTTGAATATCCCTTATCAGAAAATCCAAAATCCAAAATCCAAAATGCTCCGGTGAGCGTTTCTTTCAGCGTCATGTTGATACTTAAAAAGTTTTGGATTTTGCAGCATTTCAGATTAGGGATCCTCCACCTGTACTGACACGCAGCTAATTGCACTGTGAAAGATTTGGATTTTTTTGAAGCTTGTTGGTATGTTTTTCAGCAGATAACAATATCAGAAAATAAATTCCTTGGCACATCATACCAGAAGAAAATGGTAAATGTTTTCCAGTCCTGTCTGGTGTTTTTTCCAGTGGTAGAAATCTTGACACCAAGAAAATTGTTCCTGTGGCACGAATGGGCTAGTGTGGATCATAGCTCTGCTCTCTGCATTGGTGTCAGCTTGGATGCCCATGTGCTGTGACCTGAATCTCTCTCTTTCTCTCTGTTCCCACCCCAGAAGCCCCCTGTGCCACGCCCCTGATCTGCAGCTTCGGGAGGCCGGTGGACCTGGAGAAGGACGACTACCAGAAGGTGGTGTGCAACAACGAGCACTGCCCCTGCAGCACCTGGATGCACCTGCAGTGCTTCTACGAGTGGGAGAGCAGCATCCTCGTGCAGTTCAACTGCATCGGCCGGGCGCGCAGCTGGAACGAGAAGCAGTGCCGCCAGAACATGTGGACCAAGAAGGGCTATGACCTGGCCTTCCGCTTCTGCTCCTGCCGCTGCGGCCAGGGCCACTTAAAGAAGGACACGGACTGGTACCAGGTGAAGCGGATGCAGGACGAGAAGAAGAAGAAGTCTGGCTCGGAGAAGAACACAGGGAGGCCCCCTGGCGAGGCTGCAGAGGAGGCAAAAAAGTGCAGGCCCCCGAATAAGCCCCAGAAAGGCCCGAGCCACGACCTGCCCCGGCGGCACTCCATGGACCGGCAGAACTCCCAGGAGAAGGCGGGCGGCGCTGCGGCCTACGGCGCCCGCTCCCCGTGCGGCTCCCCGGGCCAGTCCCCGCCCACCGGCTATTCCATCCTGTCCCCCGCCCACTTCAGTGGGCCCCGCTCCTCGAGGTACCTCGGGGAGTTCTTAAAGAACGCCATCCATCTGGAGCCTCACAAGAAGGCCCTGGCCGGGAGCCACGTGTTCAGAAACGCCCACTTTGACTACAGCCCGGCCGGGCTGTCTGTTCACAGGGGGGGACACTTTGACGCCCCCGTGCAGTTCCTGCGCCGGCTGGACCTCTCCGAGCTCCTCGCTCACATCCCCAGGCATAAGTTGAACACTTTCCACGTGCGGATGGAAGACGACGCCCAAGTGGGCCAGGGGGAGGATCTGCGGAAGTTCATTCTCGCAGCGCTCAGCGCCAGCCACAGGAACGTCGTGAACTGTGCGCTGTGCCACCGGGCGCTGCCGGTGTTCGAACAGTTCCCACTGGTGGACGGAACTCTGTTCTTAAGCCCGTCGAGACACGATGAGATCGAATATGATGTTCCTTGTCACCTTCAAGGTATAGGTGTTAATTCACCTTGCCTGCTTTCTGTTTGTTAAAAACCATACAGCCAACGAGAAGAAATTGCTCTATTTTGGCTTAATCTTCACTGATTTCCTATTTGTTCCAGTCAGGTGCTAGGTAACATTGGACTATTTCAGCTAGGCCCAGTGAGGTGGTGGTGATTTTTTTACTCTGATGTCACTGTACCACGTACAGTTGTCCTGGTGGGGTAATTTTTTTGTTGTTGTTGTTCTGCTGTAATTTGAAGAGAGGATTGCTGGTGTATATTTTTTTGTAATTGGGAGGAAATTTAGAGAAGGAATTGCATAATTGTCACTTGTTGTAAAGTAGTTGCCTTTGAAACCTATTTTAATGTGCCCAGCAAGCTATGTATTCTCTTTGATCCTTGTAAACATAACAGTGAGGATGAGTAGGGGTCAGGAAGGGTGGAGGTGTTTTTAGATTAGTGGAGTTAATTTTGAAATTTATGAAGGATGGGACTGTCTTGATAGCGAATAGAGGATTATCAGAAGCTCAGACATTAGCCTGGTGGTGGTGGAGGGAGGGGGACAGTGGGGAAGCTTATTATGAATGACATACAAGGATTTGGGTACATTTCAGCCATAAATTGAATGACAGGGGTTGGTTAGTATAAGTGAGAAATCTGACAATTCATGTAAAACTACTGAACTTCCATAAAGATGAGAGGCATAATGTATAACATGCTTATACTTTAAATGTATGCTAAAGAAGTAGTAAAGGTGGTGTATCCTCACCTGCTTTCTTCCCACCAGCCCCTGCTGTCTCATTTCCCTAGAGACACTTTCAAATCAACCAATTCTTCAGGTTTTTAACATCAAATTTTTAAATAGTGCTGTCTTCATTCTCCAATTTTTGATATTATCTGTTGACTCACTTTTAAGGTGGATGACTACATATCCCCCTTCTCTTTTCTTTCTGGATAATACCTCGCAATTCTTGGTTAAATCCTTAATGCGTTTACTGTTGTATGTAAGTATTTAATGTTGAGCCAAGAAGTATGGGGTTATTTCTTCTTATAGAATACGATATATCCTAGGATACCTTTCATTTTTATTAGAGTTAATGATTGATTACATTTTCATTTGCATGGTTTTTTTTTTTTTTTTTTTTGAAGCTTTGGGTAGTTCTCACTCTCCAGCAGCTTCACAAACCACCTTGCAAAAACATTTCCACATACCTGTCAGACATTTTTTGGAATTTTTTTCTTTTCTGAAAATATCCTTCGTGGAGACATCAATCTTCCTGCTCCTGCCTGTCCTGGCAAACACAGGACCTGCTGTTCTATACTCTGTTCTCCTAGGAATGCCTTCATTTCTCTCCTGTTTTTTATCTTGTTTCCTAGATCCCGTATTTTTATTTTCTTGGTGTATTCCCTCAATTCGTTAGGAAACATCTCCCAGGAGCTTTGTGAGAAGGGGAGCATGGGAGTTGCTGATTTGAGATTTTGAAAATCTGAACGTATCTTGGTTCTTGATTGCTGTTTAGCTAGGCATAGTCTTCTAAGTTATAAATATTTTCACCTTGGAGTTTTGAAGGCATTCTTTATTGCCTACTATCTTAAAATGTCCCTGTTGAGAAGTCTGATATTCCTGTGCTGCCTCCACCTCCACCCTTCTCTGAAGGTTTTAAGATTTTCTCTTTATATCCCTAATATTCTGAAATTTCACCATAATATGGTTTTTTTTTTCCTCCATTCATTGTGCTCTGTGTACTCTGTTGGCCCTTTGATTTATGGTCCTCCATCTGGAGAAATTTTCTTTTGTATTACTTCTTTGATAATTTCCTCTTCACTATTTTCACTTAAAAAACCTGTGGAACTAATCAGGTATTGGACTCCTAGATCTTTTTCTTTGTGGGGGTGGGGGAATCCTTTATACACACAGACATATGTATACGTATACACACATATCAATATATTTGACCCTGTTTATCTCTTTGCTTTATGGAAAATTTCTTTGCCCTTATATTCCAGTATTTTTACTGAATTTAAAATTTTCTGTTCTTATATTTTGAATTTCCAAGAGCTCTATTTTTAATAGCATCCTGTTCTTCTTTCATGGATACAATTTCTTGTGTTGCCTTTCTGAGCAAGAAAGGGAGCTGAAATTGCAGGAAGTGTAGTCTCATTTGTTTTGATAATTTTATCTATCCCCCTCGTATCTTTTAGCCTTTGTTATAAAGTGGAGTGCTCCAAAATTTAGTGGTTTAAAACAGTGATGATTTAGTGATTTCTTACAAATCTGTGGGTTGATTAGTTAGGACAGTTAGGTTGGCCTAGTAGTCCTCAGCTGGAGTGCTTGTCTATGTTGTGTGTGGTCTTTCATCTTCCAGTAGGCTAGTGTGGGCTTTTTCACATGACGTTCCCAGGACAACCTTCAGGAGATTAGAGTGGAAGCTGCAGGGTCTCTCTCTGGTGGCTTAAGCTTGGAACCGAGTGACATCGCTTCTATTAATTTTTGTTCATCAATTTAAGTCCTTAAGGCTAGCCCAGGTTCACAGGATGTTAAAGTATTCTGCTGCTTGATGGAAAGAGTTGCATAGACTTTATGGTTGTTTGTAATTTACTGCACCCACTATTTCCCTTTCAGCGCTTCATCCTACCCTCCCCAGTGCTTGTCCAGTTTGAGAGCTAAACCGTTTGCCATTCCTCCTTCCACTTTCTGACCTCACATATTTTGGTTCACAATTACAGGCACCTCATTGTTTCATGGAAGATGTTGTTTCTTTTCTTCATCCTGCTTGGGGGTAATTTTAGAGGGAAGAGGATGGAAGCACCTTTACTTCATCTTAAAACTTGAAACATTCTTTATGAAAATGAATGAGGGTAGGAGGGTACATAGGTAGAGGGTAGATGAGAGTAGGATTGTTCTTTTTCTATTCATGGTGGACAAATTCTTTTGATGTAATCCATTCATCAGTTGGGTCCTTGCCTGTCATCAGTGTATATTTTAGCATATGAGATGCTTTTATAAAATGTAATTAATTTTACTAGGCCTGAGGTTCTAGTACCACATGTGGAACTAGGAAGACCTGGATTTTGTATACCTTAAGTGTCTTGTAATTTCTAAAGGGGAATGAGCCACCTTGGGCTGGTTAATCAAGGGAGGCAGTGAGAAGGCATATGTGAAAAGGTGGGCTGTATGTTAATAGGCAGAGGATCTAGCCATGTCAGGTGTTTGTGGATGAGGAGAAGGAGCAAGTGAGCAAAGAAAGGGCAGTGGAAGAAAAAAGGACAGGTTGTGATCAGGAGCTAGGGAGAGAACTGTCTGGTTGGAGCCAGGTGTCCTAGAGTGGAAAATGAGGAGGATAGTTAGAGAAGGATGGGGGGTGGGGTCCTTTTAACCCATAATGAAGAGCTTTGCCGTGTTGTTTTTGAATATGAATTGAAGGGTTTTTGTTTTTTTTTTTAAAGCAGTCACGTGGGGAAAAGTTTGAAAGGGGTGAGACCTAGAGAGAGAGTTGAAACTTTATTTCTCTAGCCTAGGTGTGAGGAGGTAAGAGACTGCAGGGTGGGGCCAGTGGATGGAAAAGAGGGGGATATCTTTAAGAGATTATTTTAAAGAAAATTACAGCTTTGGGTTCACCTTGACTGTAAGGATGAAGAGGAGTCCTTGTTGGCTCACTTTTCTTCTAGACCAGAGAAATGGTGTAATCACAGAGGTAGAGAAAGATGGGAAAAGGAACTGATTTTAGGGGACAGGGGATGAAATCTGTGTGTGTTGGGTTTGAAGGGGTATTGGGACTTCTGTGTGGAGATGTCTTGCAAGCATGGCTAGAAATAAGCACTTGGGATGGACACTGTGGAGCTTATTTTATGACAGTGGTGGTTAAAATCCTGAGAGTGGAAGAGCTCTTGAATGGAGAGAAGAGAAAAAGAAAAGGAAGAGGATGTGACAGAGCCCACAACTAATCTAGAGGGTAGTTACCAGGGAGAAGATGGAGAAAAAGGTGAAAATTAGATAGGCCTGAGTCCTAGTGTGTGTATGTGTGCACACATGCACATAAATACAAATGGTGTGTTAGGTATGCACTACAAAGATATTGAGAAGTCGAGCTGTTGATTATGAAATCTGAAGATGACGGTGTTTAGTCAGTTCTGAAGAAGTCATCAGTGCCACAAGTGAGGCCTTGACCACTTATCAGTGTTTTTATTGCCACATCTTAGAGAAGTCCATGTGCTTTTATTTATAGTAAGCTAGTTTAAATCATTTCTTCATCACACAGTCCCGACCATGTGTTCTTTGAAGCATTTTCAACTCCAATGGAAAGGCCACGTTCCAGGCCACAGGATTAAACAGCCTGCAGTTGATTATGTGCTGCAAAGTGCTTACTCTCCTCCGTGGTACACCCTGTGGGTTGTCACTCCTGTGCCCTGCCCTTTACCCCTTGCTGCCCTCACCCAACTCCGCCTCTGGCCTCTGTTCTCATTCTTCCTCTGAAAAAATGTTTCGTTTGGTTTTAATAGTTTATTAAGATTGATCTAATTAGGACATTCTTTTATTGGGCTTCTTTACCACTTTGAACCACATGTGATTGTTTTCTCAAGAATCTGCTTTTTGTTTAAACTCAAAATCCTAGGGTTTAGGCATTTAGAATTCTCTATACTTGGGACAGCGTATAACTGAGACAAATGTAGAGACTCAGACCAGGCCAGATGCTCCTGTGAGTTTGGCTGTATGTTAGGAGTCTGACATGAGTTTAAGTCTGTACTTTGGACTTTGCTACTTACTGTGAATTTGGGCAAGCTGCCCATGCTCTCTAACTTCAGTTCCTTCTACCTTTAGTGGGAGTAACAGGAATTTGCTTTATAGTGTTACTGTGAGAGCTAAATGAAATGATTCACGTAGAACTTGTAGCACAGTGCTGGACTCTTGGTAAGTACTCAGTAAAAGTGACTTGTCTTCATTGTCATGGTCATTGTTATCAGCACCTGGCTTCTGTGTCCACCCCTGCCCTCACCCTTCCTGGCAGCAGCTGGAGAATTGCAGTAAGTCTAGGACAGATGGAGACTGCAGATGTCTCCTAATACTTCCCTGTGGCTCCTAATACTTGAACTGACTTCCTGACATGCCCCCAGGCCACTCAGAATGGGCATAGCGTGTGAGACCTTTTTATTTCCAGTGCCTTAGCCCAGCATTGGGTGGTATTGTAAGAAGAAGCACTTGTTACCCTAACCATTTTTGGCATAGAGGCCCCCAAGGTTATGCTGTCTTTGGCTATTAACATGCCCTATCCATTCACCCAACGCACATTTAGAGAGTTCTTTCCACATTCCAGACTTTGGACTAGATGCTGAGTCCAGGAAGATGAAAAAGACATGGTTTTTGTCCTCAAAGAGGGAGAGAGTCATGTAAGCAAATACAGTAGAAGGATTTTCTCTGAATACCATATATAGGGGTAAGAAGCAGTTTGGTCCTTACTACTTGAGTGGGGAAGACCCGCAGTCTAACTGATAGTAGTGAGCAGCATGTTCTGAGTAAGAAGCCACTTAGGAGGATGTGTTTTCCTGATTCCTGGAGCTCCCTGGTTTCCACAGAGAGCAGAAATGTTGCTCTCCAGATCCTAGACATTCTGATTCTTGCACAGTTACTTGAATAGGACTATAGCTGGCACCAGCTGGGACCCTTCCATACAAACTAGGATGGCATCTTTCCTTTACAAGCATTATGATGTTGATAAATAATGGAGGAATGTGGTTGTAACTTTAAGAACCAAGTAAATATTAATAATAAGACATTGAACTTCTTTTAAAAAAATCACAAGGAAGCTATAATTCTGGTTCCTAAATTAGATATGGTGATGGTTGAGCAATTTTGGGGACAAGGACAGTTAACGTAGTAATTTTGGCTGTGGTGTAATTCTGGACTGTCAATTCCAAGACAGACATTGACTTTTTTTATGATGGGAATTGGTGGGTGAGAGCCCATGACAAGACCAATGATGTTGGTTCAGTCTCCGTATGCCATGCCGTGACTTCTGAGCAGTCCTTGCATGAATACAGTACAGGCTGGTTTTGATTATGTGTGGCTTTGTTACCGGAATTTGGATGGACATATTATGTAAACCTAGCAGCTCTTTTTGGAGGAATGAATTAAAGCAAGTTTTTATAAACTTGAACCTGAAGGTACATGTTTTATGATAATTAATAATTATTCTAAAAGAACAGTTTGTGTGATAAATATATTTAGCTTTTTATGTTTATCCAAATGATAAAGTATTTGCTTATAATTGGTAGATGAAGTATTTTTATCCCTTTTGGACATAAAATGTGATTTCCATGATGGCTGCTCTGAGCTTTGTGTCTTCTGTGCACAGGGAGACTCATGCACCTGTATGCAGTATGTGTGGACTGCCTGGAAGGGGTTCACAAGATCATCTGTATCAAGTGTAAGTCGCGATGGGACGGTAGCTGGCACCAGCTGGGCACCATGTACACCTATGACATCCTGGCCGCCTCTCCGTGCTGTCAGGTTGGTATCGACCCCACCGAGGGGAGCAGGAGCAGTGGGTGATATTAGGCTTCTGTCCCCAAGTAAATAAAAGAAGATACTTCTGACAGTAAAGAAGAAATTCAGTCATAAAACCCTCAAAGTCCAGCAAAGATGGCTGATTTACTACTTTGTGATGTAGCCATTTAGTGGAATACTGTACAGTCATTAGAAGGCATATTATAGAATGAGATATAATTATGTAGGAAGTATTTCCAGTACATTAAGTCAAAAAAGCAGGTTATAACATGGCATAATAACATGCTTGCATCTGAACATGAAAAGGGATCTGCTAATGTGTTACGAGGTGGTTACAGACTGGTCTGGTGGTAGGAGGCTGAGGGATTCCTTTGGTTTTCTTTCTGTTTGCATATATTTTCTAATATTTTGTATGATTAGCTTATACTAAATTTCTAATGAGAAAAAATTATTATTTAACAGGAAGAAGAAAGTTTCACTTTCTTCAGGAGACAGGATTTTCTTGTTTCTTTTCTGTGGGATAGTGCAATTACCAGGAATTGTCTGCTTTGTAAGGTGTTTGAGGTTGACATGAAAGATTTGTAGCCCTGAAAGCACTTGAAGAGGAGGCATTTTCTGGTGCTAAGAGAACATCTGAAATTTAGCTGTCATCAGGAAAACAGGGAAGTGTTAATATTATCATATGAAAGCACATTAAATAAACCCATAGAAACACAGTAGACAAAATCCTTGGAAATATCTTGGTTTATTTCCAAGCATTTGGGGAAGAAAATAACTTGCTGTATAATTCCTTGATATTCATGTGTAGGAGAGAAATTTTCCTTTGCTCTCCAGTGTCCAAGGCCTGGCTTTTAATACAAATAACTGGTTATAGTTAGTTATTAGTTACTGCATAGTTTAGTATTTTTAAAAAGAGAATATCCCGGCTGGGTGCGGTGGCTCACGCCTGTAATCCTAGCTCTCTGGGAGGCCGAGACGGGCGGATTGTTTGAGCTCAGGAGTTCCAAACCAGCCTGAGCAAGAGCGAGACCCTGTTTTCTACTAAAAATTAGAAAGAAATTAATTGGACAACTAAAAATATATAGAAAAAATTAGCCGGGCATGGTGGCGCATGCCTGTAGTCCCAGCTACTCGGGAGGCTGAGGCAGGAGGATCGCTTGAGCCCAGGAGTTTGAGGTTGCTGTGAGTCAGGCTGACGCCACGGCACTCTAGCCCGGGCAACAGAGTGAGACTATGTCTCAAAAAAAAAAAAAAAAAAAAGAGAGAATATCCTTACTATTTCAGTTTATTCCAAAGATGACTGTATCTGTTGAATTGAAAAGTTGTTAGAGTCAGTATTTCAGCTATATCTCATATATACTAATGTTTTGCAGAAGAGAAATATGGTCATGAGAGATCTAAATGGTCATCCGTAGTCTGCCCATCCTTTGATTCCAGATAGGATTGGCTAATTTTATGCTAGTTCTAATGCATTGACCACATTTTTTATTGATTTCTTTAGAGATAGGATCTTGCTCTGTCACTAGGCTGGAGTACAGTGGTGTGATCATAGCTTACTGTAGCCTCAGACTCCTGGGTTCAAGTGATCCTCCTGCCTCATCCTCCTAAGTAGATGGGACTACAGATGCACACAACTGTACCTGGCTAATTTTTTTGTTTTTCATAGAAACAGGGTCTCGTTGTGTTGCCCAGGCTGGTCTCAAAGTCCTGGTCTCAAGTGATCCACCTGCCTCTGTGTCCTAAAGTGCCGGAATTACAGGTGTGATCCACCACACCCGGCCAACCACATTTTTATTTTTAAATTTAGCCTTGGAAATGAGATATCACAGTCTTTTAGTTATTTACTATAGCATTTTATTATAGTTTTTGTGCCTTAATGCCAACTCTTAAGATGAGAGAAACCACAGGAAGTGGCTCCCCTCTCTGCACACACACCACAGAGGGTTATTTTTTAAGTTAAAGAAATAAGGAAGTGAAAGAAGGTTTGGGCCTGTCAGCTCAAAGAATATTAGCATTGGAAAGGACGTGGGCAATCTAGTGCCGGCTCCTTGTCTTCCACATACAATGGAGGCCTCAAAAATGTGAATGCTTTACCCACGGCTACACAAATTGTGGTCCTGACAAAAACTTCAAATTCCCATTCTCGTGTTCTTTCTACTGTACTACGGAAAGGCAATGGGATTAGCTCTGTATCTTTAGGGAGAAAAACAGGCTACACCCAGCCTCTTAGTACTCACTATACACTGTATTTTTTCCTTAAAACAATTTAAGCCCAGACCTTTATCTGCTGGCCCCCTACTATTATAAAAAGGAAAACATGTTTGATTGATGTTTTTTTTTAAATCAATTGACAATATTCCTGTAAGGATACAAGTGTTAGACACTATTAAAGTATCAAGAGAAATCTTCTAATAAGACGGAGCCAAAAATAAATAATTGCTTATTAGAAAAGTATAACAGGTTAAAGAAAGGTTTGCTTTTAGAACCTCACTTGTAATGTTCAGAGAGATTAGTGGTTTGAAGGAGTTTATCTCAGGTTATAGGAAAGCAGTTCATATAATGGCTGAAAGCAAGCTGTGGGGCAGGCTACTCTGGTTCCGGTCTCAGTTCTTCTGCTTTCTGACCATGACCTCGGCCTTGGCGCTTTATCACTGTGTGCCTCAGTTTCATTTTCTAAAACGCAGAGGATACTACCTACCTCACAGTGTTTCTTTTTTGTTTTGTTTTATTTTTTTTTTTGAGACAGAGTCTCCCTCTGTTGCTCAGCTAGAGTGCTGTGGTGTCAGTCTAGCTCAAACTCCTGGGCTCAAGCAATCCTCCTGCCTCAGCCTCCTGGGTAGCTGGGACTTACAGGCATGCGCCACCATGCCCGGCTAATTTTTTCTATATATTTTTAGTTGTCCAATTGATTTCTTTCTATTTTTAGTAGAGACGGGATCTCGCTCTTGCTCAGGCTGGTCTCGAACTCCTGAGCTCAAACAATCCACCCACCTCGGCCTCCCAGAGTGCTAGGATTACAGGCGTGAGCCACCGCGCCTGGCCCCTCCCAGTGTTTTGACGATAAATTGAGAGTATACTTTTCTCTTGCATTTAAAAAATGAATCTATACCAAGAGTCTATTTTACTTGTCATTTCTGGTTTTCCACTTAAGTCCTGGCACGTTGCTGAAAGGTGCCGGGACTGTGCCGCTGCAGAGAGGCTGAGCGTGAGTGAAGTCGCGGCGTGCTGGGGAGTTCAGGATCCTCCGGATCAGCACAACTCTTCTTCCTGGATTGCCAACTTTACTCGAGTATTTTAGGGAAATCTTATTTTTACATCAAAGAAAACACAAATGTATGGAGTAGAATGAAAAATGTATGTGGATTTTAAAAATAAACCCAGAATCTTCAAAGAAGTTTCATGCAGGTTTGGGTGAGGGAAGTCAGCTTCAGGCACTGTTAGAATCCAGAGGGAAGGGTTTCCTATTGTCAGGGGAACTTTAGTGGAGAAGATTAGACAGTACTGGAATTTTCTTCTTACCAGGGTGTGAAACGACTAGCAGTGCTGCATATCACAAGAGAAACTGGGAGTCTTCTAGGCATCCCCTGCTTTGGGTAGTAAAAGGAATGCTTTACTAAACCCTTGACCATTTTCCCAGCATTTTGGTTTAGATGACTTTGACAAGTGTTGCGAAGCCAAAGGGTGTTGTGGCTCATGGTGTCTGTTTTCCCCAGGCCCGCCTGAACTGTAAGCACTGCGGAAAGCCCGTGATCGACGTGCGCATCGGGATGCAGTACTTCTCCGAGTATAGCAACGTCCAGCAGTGTCCACACTGTGGGAACCTGGACTACCATTTCGTGAAGCCATTTTCCTCCTTCAAAGTTCTTGAAGCTTATTGATGAAAGCTTTGCTTTAGTAATAGCTATTTTATTGATATTATTACTTTATTACATATCTTTTATAGGGAAACATTCTGTGACATTGATTTCTTTTCTAATTTAAAGGAGAGTTACTTTATGTATGTGCGCCACTAAAACGCGGCTGCCCCTTGCCCTGTCTCGATTCCTGAGTGTTAGTCTGTGGTTATGACCAGAGCCCAGGTGGGGAGTCCTGTGAGTTCGGGTAGGGCTCACTCTCACTCAGAGTCTCTGATGCAGCTTTAAGGTGATGGGGGGAGGATGGCATGAGTTGAAGAAAGGGATTATGTGGTTGAAGACTAAAAGCATGACAGGAGTTGGCAGAAAACTCTTACTAAAATCTTAACTTTCTACAGACCCACTTTTAGATCTTCCCTGGGCCTTGGGAAACGTGTGACAAGTGAATGTAAGTGTCTGCCTGGAGAGCAAACAGTGTATTAGTCCATCTCGGCTTAGTGTCCTGCAGCACATGCTGCCATGCAGTTTACTCACACCAATAGATGGTTCGAAATTGGCACAAGTGCTGTTTCTGTCACTGTTGTAATTTAACAGTCAATTTTTCATGCTGAAAATAACACCCAAATTGTAACACATACTAAAGATACTGGTATTGCAAATATTTTTAGGTAAGCTGACCTATAACAGAGAATATATGAAATGAATTTCTAAATAATGCATACTGACTTGAGGGCACAGAGGCAGAGTTCTCTTATTTGAATTGTGTCTTTGAAGTTCGTCAGAATAGCTCTTAAAGGGAATCCATGAATAACATGATTTGGGCAGTGATGATTTATACAAGTGACACCATCAGTGCCATTTGCTGTCAGATTCTTCTGAGAGGTAAATCTCACAGCCACAGAATCTAACAGGTGAGTTTCAGAAGCAAAAATTGCCATATTTATTGTCCCCAGATTTGCTATTGCCACATTTAGCCTATTTGATACTGAGTTTCCAAAATCAAAGATTTGACCTTAGGAGGGAAAGGAAAAACATTGTCTGAGAGGATGATAAAGAAAAGAATAATTTTAATATTTCTTTAAAAAGTGTGTTTTACTTTGAAAAATCACTGATTGTAATGTATAACAGTATGTTTGAAAATAGATCATTCTAAAGATCTCATAATACCTTACTGTTGGTGAAAAAAGATGATCTTATACAGAACTTGATCAGAGCATTGGGCATTCCAAAATACAACCTTCTGTTCATTAGATCTTAATGATTTAAATAGACTGACATCCTATACCCTTACAGAATTGGAATATGATTTCTCAAAAATGAATTTGGTAATTGCATGTATGATATGGATATATGCTAAAAGAATGCTGGAAACATAATTATTTTATGGATAGCCAAATTTGGGGTGGATGTAAACATTTTATATTACTCATTTGGTTTATACCATTTTTTTCTCAGTGGGGTTTTTCATTTCAGAAGTATTTAGGCATTATTGCAAGTGAGTTTCAGTTCTACATGAAATATTTGATGTTTTGTTTGAAACAGCACAGCATTAAAGAACCAATGCATTAACTAATATTTTTCATCTTTCAGTTTGGAAGGTTGTTATTTGGTTTGCTGCATCTCGTTTGATGTTTGATGATCTGAAAAATATTTCACAGTCGGGGGAAATGCACAAAATGCCTGTAAGAAGCAGAAAATCAATATTGGTCTGACAGTGTTTGACGCAAGTAAAAGAGGGACTATGAGACATAACCTCTTGCAAATTTGTCTTTAATACACAAAGCTGTTAATTGTGAATTAACTGTTTTCCTATTGATTCTCTCATGTATCCAAGTCTAAAAATTGGTAAGTTTCTATTGTTTTCAGAATACCATTTAGATTTTATTTCTGAATTTAAAATAATTAGTAAAATATTTGTAATGCTGGTCTTTAACCCACCTAAATTTTTATAGTGAAACCTGCTTTATATTGTTGTTCTGAAGCTTAAAGTTGACCTGTACACTATATTCAGTAAGCTCCTGAGTTTAAAACTACTGTGGGCATACTGTATGCCGCATTCCATATTTTCGTTTTAGATTGTTTTCTACCCCTGGAAAAATACGTATGATGAGGTTTCACTATAATTGGGTAAAATTGCTTCTGGACATTATTTTGATGATAAAGTTAGGATTCTATGGATATATGCAGTGTTTGAAAAGAGAAGTGTATCATACCCGGAATATCTATTGCCTTTAAAATAATTCACTCTTATGTAAAAGGGAAAATTTATCTGATTTGGGAATAAAATATAATTGAGTATGCAACACTATAAAGATAAATCTTATTTTAGAAATCGGCTGGCCTTGATACCCCACACTTGCTCTGAGTACCTTGATTGGAATTGGAATATGTCAAGAAAGATTATTATTTTTGTTGTTGTTAGGATATTAGCTACCCAAGAGGACCAATTTCTGTTTGATGAATAGTGTTCAATAACATGAAGCATTTTTCATCTACCCTTAACATTTTTTTTTATCATTTATTTTTAAAAGTTTTATACCTTGAACAAATACAATTGCCTGCTTTAGTGAGAAGACAATTTCTGATTGATCATTGTCTCTTCAGGCCTTCTCAGCTGTCCACTCTCTGGTTACATCTGAAGCAGCTGATATACCGGGTTTATACCTTGAAAGACAGACATGGTGCCATGAAATTGAGAAGTTGGGTGAATTCCCGTTCCGATTATAGAGAAGCATTCCCAAAATGCCCTTTAATTTCTGGTTTTTGTGGAAGTTTATTTTCTGAGAAAAAGTTATTTTCATATTTGGAGAAAATTAACTCTTCAAGAAAGAATCTTACTAGGTTTTCAAACCCTAAAACTATCTAATAACAGATTGACTGATGTATAACTTACTAGAACACCAAAACTAACTTACGCAAATCTTTTGTTTAGTTCTGCAAGACCAATGCTTAACACACAGTCTGTTCTCCTGCGGCCAGGTTGGTAACTCCAGTTTGCTTTTCTTTAGTCTCCTGGTAAGCAACTGTGAAGTAATTGTCGTTGGAGGTTGGGGAGGAGGTGAGGAGAAAGTGCTCTTGTTTAGTGTTTTGTTTCCTGTAGTAGGATGCTGCCTAACTCGGTTCATCTCCATGTCCTGTTGACTTTATTATTATTCCAGCTAATTGAAAAAAAATACAATGGATGGGCACAATTAAAACCAGCTCAAAAATATATTCTTGTCGGTAAAGATATCTTGTCAAGACGTCTTGGATTGCACTTTTGTTGAGGGAAGACAGTGTAAATAGTTAAAGAATGTCGATAAAATTGAAGCATTTGGTTGTGGAATTGTGCGTGGTGTTAGAGGGTTTCTGTTTGTGAAATGTATGTATTAAAAATAATAAAATTTCAGAAACTAACATTGTACTCTCTCTTCAGTGTGTCACTTTTTTTGTATGTTGGGATTTTTGAGCAGTGGGATTGTCTGGTCAGAGAAGATGTAAAGAAGGCTTTCTGAGGTTTTGATTGCTATTCAGGTAGTCATTTCCAAGTCAGTACTGCAGCTAATAAAAACTGCGAACATTTTGTGCTGCTTGCAAGTCGTGTATCACATGTAAAATCCCTTTGCAACAAAAGCATTCTATTTAACAAAGTTGATTCCATAAGGATAGTCCAAAATTATTATCTTGGTTATAGGGAATTCTACTGAATAGATAGTGTTAACGAAAAATAAAAACCGAGGCCACAGTCTAGATATACCCTAAGATCAACCACCCATAGCCACCTACCCAAAACTAAGACATCCTGATTTCCCTGAAACACTAGTTGTGCTTATAAACAAAAACATAAAATACAAGCTTTGCGTCCTTGTCAGCATGATTTGGTGAAATCAAACCAATCACCTACAGTAGTGTTGTCCCCCACTCCCCCTGCCCGCCCCGTCTCCGAGTATCCGAGGTTTTGCTTTCTGCAGTTTGTTACCCATGGTCAAAGTCAGTCCAAAAATATTAAATGGAAAATTCGAGATACAGTTCTTACAATTTAAATTGCACACCATTCTGAGTAGCATAATGAAATCTTGAGAAGTCCTGCTCTGTCCCTCTGAGGAGGTGAGTCCTCCCTTGGTCCAGCAGATCCACTGTAGATGCTGCCCAACCGATAGGCACTCAGGAGCTGGCTCAGTCCCTTGCAGTATTGCAGCACTTGTGTTCGTGTTTTACATGATGGTCACGTAGCACAAGAGTAGTGATGCTAGTGTATTGTTACAGTTGTTCTACTTTGTTATTGTTAATCTCTTACAGTGCCTAATTTATGAATTAAATTTGTAAATTATAAATTTGTAAGTTATCATAGGTACATATGTATAGGAAAAACCATAGTATATTAGGGTTTGGTACTTGAGTTTGAGGCATCCACTGGAGGTCTTGGAATGTAGCCCTCAAGGATAAGGGGGGACCACTATATAGACAAATCAACTGAACTCTTCTTCCCTTAAAAAGAATGTTAATGTATAATACAACAGCAAGTCACAAAAGAGGGCAAAATACTTCCTCCTTTATGCTTTGTAAACGGTGCTGTAACAGCTGTGTGTGGGGCGGCTTACCACTTTGGTTTGAGGTCTCCCAGTTTGCCAACTGTTCTCTTGTATGTACAGTAAAATTCTACAACTTTTAAATTTGATTTGATTTGATTTGATTTTTAACAATAAATAATCCTATGAGTGTTTTCTTTGGTTGCTAGGCCTGTAACAATTTCATAAAGAAAAGACTAGATTGTATGCTGCTGCTTTAGAAGCAAAGTGAAAACCGAGTCTGATTAAACTTTTTGCTGACCTTGAGCACTGTGGTAATTTTATTAGCTCCATCTGTCATTGCTAAGCCTCAGAAACAGCAAAAGCAAAAAGAAAGCACTTTGCCTCATGAAGTTCAGTGGAACACCACTGGTTACGTTTGTCAGCCTTCAAAGGGAATTGGCCACCTTAGCACCATTTCTTGGTGATGGGTACCGTGTCAAGTGGTTCTGATGCACTCGATTAAAAATTCAGATGATACCTTAAAATCAAGTTTTGAACTAATTGTATTCCTAGTAAACCCAGGTATTCTAAAAGTGGAAACGTCATAGTCATAACAGTCATGGAATTTAGAGATGCAAGAATTTAGAGCAAGGGCTGTGCTTTCTTTTTATTCACATAGTAAATATTTGTTAAATTACATTGACAATTATATTCATTTTAGAGATTAAAGAAAAAAAAGATGAGGCCCAGAGAACTTCAATCTAAATAACTTCACATAGTTAATGGCTAACTAGGAATTAAATCTGGATTCACTCTCCTAGTCCTCAAAATGAGATTTTGGTAAATATTCAGCCAGCTAACCATGGTTTAGAGGTAGAGTATCCATGAGTTGTCTTCAGTTGTCCCTTCTGTTTTCCGTTACCATTTGCATATAGGCCACCTCTAGCATATTAATGATCAGATTTAGGCATTAGATACCTGAAAAGATCTTTGTGTTACTTGAGAAACTGTTTTAAACATGAACTTTATCTGGATCCTGGAATTAATTTTGGTTTTTGTTGCTTTCATTTTGTGTTTACTGATTTTTATTTTCTGATGCTAATGGTAACAAATCTGGGAGCCTAGATGAATATCAGTTATACTCCCCATAAACAGAAGAAAATGTCAATTACAGGCATATACACTTTTACCAGATGTGTAAATAGGAAGATAACTAATCTAACTCATTTGAAGGATGGGGAACCTGCAGCCTCAAGGCCACATGTGGCCCTCCAGATCCCCAAGTGCGGCCCCTCACTGAATCCAAACTTCACAGACCAAATCCCTTTAATTCTTGTATGTATCAGTGGATGTGCACTTGATTTCAGTTGAGAAATTATTATTATTTTTTTTTTAGCCCCACCAGGTTCTCATTCAGTTGAGAAATAATTTGGGTTTGTTTTGACAAGGCAACAGATAGAAAAGTTGCCTTTGCTTCAGCAACACAGGTGCTAAAACAGA